AGTACCGGCCAATTTTCCATATTTGAAAGATATAGTAGGTTTTGGATGGATGAGACTGATCAATTCCAGTTCTCCTACGCAAAATTCTTCATTTGGTGTTTTGGGTTTTTCTACAATTTGAAAAAAAATTCCGCCTGTTTCAGAAATGTCAAAAATAACAAGAAGCTTGTGATTTTAATGATGTGTGGCTGTTTAGCTTTCAAAATAGGTGAAAGTTCAAAAAACTTGGGTGGTACTGTAGCTTCAAATATTCAATGAACCCTCTTCTTTTCCTTTTGGCACTCTCTCGAGACCACCCGGAAAACAGTGTCTATCAATCACCCCTTACTTATTCTGTTTTGCCGTTCCTCTTCCGTTTTGTTTCCAAGAGTGACAGCCGCTTTGAGATGTGACATCGGCGCGCGAATGTCACCTTTTGTGATACAATCTGTTCCCGAGTGAAAGACGAAAAATTAGAGAGCAGAAGACGGCAGAGAAACAAACAGAACTTGACACAAAATTGGATAAACAAAAGAGAAGACTTCTATGCTTCTTCTACTGCTACCGTACGGTATCTATTGGTAATGGCTGTGTAGGGACTGTTCAAATATTGACACCTGTGTGGTTGGGTTCTAAAGAGTCCTTTATGCAGTAGCCGTTAGGGAGGACAACGCAGCTTAACCTGTTATGCTCTGTTTCGAATGGTTTCCCCCCTCTCGGACTACTTGTTGCTTGCTCAGCTTTTTGTTTGATGGGGTGAGCATTAACGTATTTAGTGTTTTGGGGTTTTTTTATACGATTTGATTTTTTTTCGGTTTCTGAAATGTTTTAAATAATTTGGAATTGTTTAGATTATCGTTTAGCGTACAATACACTGGGAATTACAAATATTGAATATATTGGAAAATTTTGAAAATAGCGAATAATTTCTGATATGAGAACATGCAAAGTTTCTAAAAATTTTCAAAAACTTTTTTTTGGAAACGTACTGTTTTAACAACTTTGTGAATTGAAAACACAGCGATGCAGAGTAGTATGTCCTATTATGTCACTACTACGGTAAACTCTAATAGAATTGCACCCTTACTATTCAGCCAATTTTCCTGATTTCCTGTGAAAGACATTGAAAAACGTTCAACTGACATTACATTTCTGATATCATTCTGAACATTTTAACTGTTGAACATTTTTTGATATCTTTCACAGGAACCAAGACAAATCGGCTCGAAATTGGCGCTCAGGTTGCAACTCTGTTACAGGTCTTAAAAATATGATCTTGATAGCAACCCTTTTGAAAAATACTTTCTAAAATTTACGGTTTCAGTTACTTCCTATTTTTCAGAGATTTCTCTCTCAATGTTCTAAGGTTTCGAAATAGTCTTTGATTCTAGCTTTCCTAACCCGATATTTTTTCGGAAGGCGATGTAAATGCGCTCGGAGACATAATTTGTATACCGTATCACGTTCTTCTAAACGAGAATACCGAACTGCAAGAGCAACTCTAATGATAACAGTATCCAAAATACATAAATTCCTGGCACTATATCGTTGAAACCGTTAATTTCTCGCTTCACAATTTCCAACATTCACGTGAAACAGCTGCACGACGAGTACGATTGTACGAATTGAAAATTTATTCAGCTGATAAGAGAGCCAACTGACCAAATTACAGTTTCAGCTTCCTTGTACGTGCAAAGAGAGTTTCATTTTCTTTGTTTTCTGAATGTTCTTTGATATAAATAAATTTATAGCAAGAAAAACATAAGCCTAGGAGTTCTTGGTTTGAGATTTTTGTGATGCACTGACATAAGCGGAAGAAGATTAGCAGTTCGAACATTAACAAAATATCTAGAACTGCTGGAACAGTATTTTTTTTGGAAAAGAAAACGGGATGATGGTGAACATTTTAAAAGGAAAAATGTGAAATTTAGATCTTGAAGATGAATGAAGTTTGATCGTTACCACTATCCTATTGCTTTTCCTAAATCTCCCTTATTTTTTTGACAGCTTTCCGAAACAGCAACTTTTTTCCGAAAAAAAAAATCTAAAAATCACCCTTTTCAATCTGATAACCCCTAACACTGTCTTCTCAATCTATCTCTTCAAATCCATTATCAAACACCCACGTAATTGTTGCATTCTTTCTTCGGAACACGAATGATTGTATCAATTCGTCTTTTCCTGCCTCTTCCGCTGCCTCAAATGACCCCACCTTCACTTCTTCTAATTTATCGCTTTTCTGTGTTGTTGTTCTTGTTACTATTCAAAAGTTGTTGTATTTCAGGAAAAAGAGAGAAGAGAAGGTAGTGCGGGTTTTGTTTATTTATGTTCATTTTATTTCCATCCCCCGTTTCTTCTTTTTCTTCTTCTTTTTGCACTGCTTTCCTACACGGTTGAATTTTTCTTTTAGTTTTAAACGGACCTAAAACTCTACTAGAAACGCTATCTGGGGCGAAAAATAAACAACTTTTTAGTTTCTTCAGGCCAAAGTTTGATTTTTTCCAATTTAATTTATTTATTGTTTTGTGAGTATCTTATTGTATTGTCTTTGTTTGACTAACGAATCGTTGTGGACCTCTCAATTGGTTACATTTGGTTACTGTTGATATTTCTGAATTGTTCGAAGGGTTTTGGTTTTCTAGAATTTTTTTAATTTCGAGAAGTTTCTAGAAATTTCAATGTCTTGCTTTATGAGCACGCGAGTTTGCTCGATCTTTTTTTGCTTTCTGCCAAAAATTTTTAGTTGGAGTTTCATTCATTGCTCTTTAAGCTCAATTATCTCGGTTCCTTTAAAAGATATGAAAAATTTTTAATTGATAAATTATTTGTCATAAATTCATCAATAATTTATCAGTTGGATGATTTTTGATATCTCTCATAGGAACCGAGATAATTGAGCTCAAAGTAAACGTATTGGGTGGAATTCTATTGGAGCAAATAACGTATAGTAGTGTTAATTAAAACTCCAATTTATGATTTTCAGTTTCATACAATAACATGGGAACAGTTAACAAATATATTTTTTGAAAAATTGGACCCCTCAAGATGACCATTTAGATTTTCCCACAGTCAACTGACCTATTAAACCCAATCTGTCCATCATTTCCTCATTTTCCTTTTATTCTCCTATTTTCACAAAGGGGATGCTTCTCAATGATATACGATTTGCTGGCCATCCTTTTCTCAATGGACCCTCTCTTTTCCTTTGTATCCCCCACATGTTGCCGAATTGGATGCGCATTTTCCCCTTCTCTCCCCCGTTGACTATTCTACTCCTCGCTCTTTTTTCTCCATTTCGTTTTTTTTTTCGTTTGCCTTTTGGTTTTCTGTGTAAGAGCCAGGAATTCACACGACCCTCCTCCACTCTCCTCACTTTTCATTCTCACTGAAAAGAACTTTTGTATACGAATCTAAAAAGTTCTTTCAGGGTGTTGTACTCGGCAAAGAGAATTTGTTTGTGAACAGTTTTTTTTTGGTTTAGAGATAGTTGTCAAAAATTCTTACTTTGCGCCTTTGGTGTTTTTATGTATTAGCATAGAAAGTGATAAATGAGAATTTCAAGACCTGCGAAAACTCAAGAAGTCAATGAAACAGTAGGTTAATGAAATTTTTAGGGTTTATTTTGAAATTTGAATAACGAGCAAGATCAGTTTCACAAGAATTTTAGAAATATGTCGAGGCAATGAAACAATAATTTTTGAATTCGAAAACTCAATAGTCTTTTTTTTCAAGTTTTTAGGGTTCGCTCAGAAATTTGCATAAAAAATTTTTCTGTCAAACTTTAATTTCAATTTCCTGGAAGCAGTTTTCATCAATCTTTATCCGGTCTGGTAATCAATGTCACCAGAATTTTCAAAACTCATCAAACCAGTGAAACAGTTTTTTGGCAAAAAAGTAGTGATCTATGAAAAGAACCTTTTCCATGAACCAATGAACAGCCTTCATAACTTCAAAAAGTCAATGAAACCGTAGTTTGACGGAATTTTAGAGTGTATTTTCAGATTTGAATAAAACACTTATCAGGCCAAATTTAAATTTAAAGCTTGTTCAGAAAAAATACCTGAATTTTCTTTTTGTTTTTTTTCCGGAAGCTGTTTGTATCGAATTATGAGCCCTAATGCAAAGAAACAATCAATTACATTAAAATTTCAGAAAATCTGTCAACCAGTGAAACAGTAATTTTTGAATTAAAAAATTTATTCAAACGGTAGTTTTGCCTAAATTTTAGGGTTTACTTTCAACATTTGAAGAAGAAACAAATTTCGGTTAAATTTCAGTTTCAATTTCTCAAAGGTTGTTTTTATTAATTTTAATCCGGCTTGGTCATCAATGTCACCAGAATTTTCGAAACAGTAATTTTTTGAATTTCTAATTTTTTTCTTTGAAATTACAGTATAATGGAAATATACATTTTGAACTTTCGAAAAATATCCGAGTTCTTTTTTTTGGTATTGCCGAATTTCCTAACTTTTCCTCCCATTCCGTTTTTTTTCTCTCCAATAAAACTGTTATCAGTATCTAAACAAACAAGAACTGACCCCTACCCAACTGTCTGCGCGTCTCATCCCCATACATTTTCTCCCCTGTTTAATATTTTCATCTAATTTCTCTCCGATTTGACCGGAAATATTGTTATTCTTGTCGCTGCCCGTCTTCTACCTAAAAATATTTTCTTATCTCAATCACTTTATCATCATTTCATGTTCTTTTTTCTACTGAATGCGTTTCGATGCTAAGAAAATGGGCAGCTCTTTTTTTTATGGCTGATGCAATCCTAAAAAATTGCGCGGTCACTCACTTTTTTCGTGTTTTTTTGTGTCCTCACACAAATCTCAAAGTCAGCATTTTTCACCTTTTCTGGTCACAAATCCCCCCACTTTTGCTCAGTGTTTTATCATCATTTTTCATCTGTCTCAAGCCCGAATTGTCAGCAATTCTAGCTCATTGAGCTCATTTTCTTCCTCTTTCGCTTCTAAATTCAATTTTATGCTTCCCAAAATTTTATAAATGTCCAGGTAAAAATGACCGCTGAAAATGAGCCGCTGAAATCTAGAGAGCCAGAAGAGCTGGTAAAAAATGGAGACGAAGAAGAAGGAGATGGAAAAGGACTTGCTAAGTCATTGACACTTTTTAATGGGGTCTCAATTATTGTTGGATGTATTATTGGCTCTGGAATTTTTGTATCGCCTACTGGAGTTCAAGAACGTAAGATTATGGAAATTTTAAAAAGTTGAATTTTCAAAGCTGCTAGATTTTCTCTTGTAACCTTTAAAAATGATAATGTGCAGGTCAAATTGTAATTCACGCAATATTTTGGAGGTTGCAGGTGGTAATAACACTAGACTTTTCAAAACTTGTCAAACCAAATTGAAAGTGATTTTTTGATTTTTTTAATTTTTTATCAAAAATTGCTCTCTCGAAGTTTTAAGTGTTTAAAGGTGGGGGGACATGAAAAAAATAATGTTCTCGAAATTCCGCTCAAAGATGCCCCTCGAGGAGTTGAACTTGTGAGGGCGATGATTGAGGGTGCGGCGCCGCTACCGACTGAGCCACGCGGGCAAAGAGAAAGCGCACGCCCGATTGCATACATAAAGGCGAGGACGACAGCTGTACGCAGAGTGACATTAAGCGTTGTACACCGTGACGGTAGAATGCATACTCTAGCTACAAAAAAACTACGAAAATTCTCCTGTCCCCCCACCTTTAAAAAATCAAAATTTCCAGAAGCCGGCTCCGTGGGACTTTCCCTTCTCGTCTGGCTCATTTCTGGTATCTTCACTGCCATTGGAGCCTATTGCTATGCTGAATTAGGAACTCTTATCAAGAAATCAGGAGGAGATTACGCCTACATTATGGAAGCATTCGGTCCATTCGTAGCATTCATTCGTCTTTGGATCGAAGCAATCGTGGTTCGACCGTGTACTGTTACTATTGTTGCATTGACTTTTGCCATCTACGGACTCCGCCCATTTTTCCCGGATTGTGCTCCACCGGATGGTGTCGCTACTCTTTTAGCTGTTTTGTTAATTGGTAATTTTACATTGAAACTAAATCGTCCAGATTAGGATACGCTTTTTTTTGTTTACTGTGTTACAATCATCAAATATTCAAGTTTATAACCCCTGATCTAATCTCAGACACTTCAACCATTGTCTTAGAAACTTGCAGTTCTGATGACTGCTATCAACTGTGTCTCTGTTCGTCTGGCTACCATCGTCCAAGACTGGTTCACCATTGCCAAAGTCGTCGCCTTGGTCCTTATTATTCTCACTGGACTCTATCTTCTTGTTTTTGGTAAAAACGAACTTCTATAATTCCCTTTCTGAATATTCAAATTCTTTCAGGAGATTCTCAGTACAAAGACTCATTTGAGAATATTTTCGAGAACACTTCCCAAGATTTCACAAAGGTTTCGCTGGCGTTTTATTCTGGATTGTTCGCCTACTCGGGATGGAACTTTTTGAACTTCATTGTGGAAGAGTTGCAGAATCCAAAGAGGTGGGTCAGCATTTTCGAGAAGTTTAAATTCGGGAAAGTTTGGAAAATAAAAAGTGGAAAACAATAGCTTGTTTGAGATTTCCGATTTTGAAATGTTCAAAACAAAACAGCAATAATTGGTATACAGTTTAGCCAATGTCATCAAAAGAGTAAGAAAATTAGGTTTCACTAATTTTATAATCTTTTTATGAAACTTGGAGGTTTTTTTGGTTTTTTCGTCCCTTTACCCCTCCACATATGTCATCATTAAAATGTTCAGTTTCATAAACAATTCAAAAGATTAGGGGAACCAAACATTGGAATCTCATGCGATCTTAACTAATCGTTCTAAAAGTTTTTGAAACTTTCGTAAGAGAAACACATCGAAAAAGAATACTTCTATTAGAGGTTTTGCTGATTTTTGGTGTAATGAAAAGATACGAAAAAATTGCAGCATGTTTTTTTCAAATATGAGACTTATCACACAAAATCTCATAATTATTTCAAATTCAATATTCTAAATTTCTAAATGAAAAAAAAAATTTCGAAAGTTTCAATTTGTTTTCTGTTTCAAATATTGACTTCAAAGAT